TTGAGGATCTTGCTCAAAATCACTTTTGGAATTATATGCACACACAAAAGGTCCAAAACTTGCTTATAAAGATAGTAAGAACAAATTTATTACAGGAGATTCCAAGACACCGGAAATGTATTATAGTTTACAAACTTTTGCGAAGACAATTATGTATCCATTAATAAAGAGGTAATTGTCTTAAATCCTTAATCATTTCCTAGAATGGAGGTTACAAACCGGTCCATGAACAAATTTAACGAGTTAACGTCAACGCCATAGATTCATCACCTAATGTATTAGATCTTAATAAAATTTTGTATATTTTATTTCTAAATTGATTCGTAGTTGTGAAATATACAGACGCAGTAGATCCAAAATTCATACATCAATTGTAGAGTTTAAGTTCACTTGAATGAGACAAAAGGAACAAAAACTATATCCTTCGACAAAAACCACCTTCAAATTGCACCATTTATCCAATGCTCTAAGATTTTGCATCATTCAGTAAGAAGTTATTGAAGCTGAAAATAGAGGAAAGAGTTACACAACGTCTATGTACATAAACAATTTTTTTTTCTTCATAGCTATAGAAGAAAAACCCTGCATCATTTCCTATTGTTACAAAAAACAGTCATTCATTTTTTTTTTCGAGTTGAAGACATTGGTTTGCTCGTAGGTGTCACAGCTTGCGTAAGGTTTTTTTGTTTTGTTCTGAATCTATCTCAGTAGTTATATCTGATTCTTGAAAGAGAGATCTTTTTGCACTTTGTCGAGTGATTTCGGGTAGAAGGTTCACTAATTTTGTTGATACATCTTGTTCTTGCTTTTTGTATTTTTTTTCCTTAGAGCTTTCTTGGGTCTCATCACTTGTGATAGTTGAAGTTGTATTTGAAGTATTGCTATCACCTAATGTATTAGATCTTAATAAAATTTTGTATATTTTATTTTTAAATTGATTCGTACTTGTGAAATATACAGACGCAGTAGAGAATTGATATGAACTTCTGAATAACACCAATTGAACTTCTGATAATCTGTATATAAAATGAAATATATTATTTTCTGCGTATCAAAAGGGATTGTTCTTCGGCTACATGTTTGAGGAAACAGAGCATAGAAGTACTAGCCACTGCTGCTCTTGTGCAGGCTATTAGGGAAGCTCAAGAACCTAGAACCCTTCAGGTATTGTTAATATAAGTTTGTTGCTTTAGCGTCATTGTAATGGGGAATTTCGTTTGAAACTTTAGATAGTAGTTCTAACATTATTAAGAAAAGGAAAAAAATCTTGATGGTACTACTTAAGAATTCAGAGAATTTTTTACATGTCTTGACTAGGAAATCCCCTGATTTCGACTTGAAGGTTCTTAGATTCAAATTTATTGCTTATTAGTTATTGATGAATCAGCTGTTCTTCATTTGGGAACACAAAGTGGGTTATCTATTGGAATCATTTGAAATTTTTATGAGGATTATTCTGTCCCCATGTGGAGGTATTTGTTATTTTTGGTTATTTGTATTGCATAAGGAAGAAAAAGGACACCAAATAATGATGTAGAGATTGCAAAAGTAACATGTACTATAGCGTTTTAGTTATCTTAAACTTTCCGTGCTCGGAAAACGTCTCTTAACACATTTTTTGCCCTTTGTTTCCTTTTTGTTTTTGGAATGGCTGAACGATTTTCAAAATCAGTTAGTCTTGAATTGTCAAAATACATGTTGAATTTGCTATTTGTTTTTGAAGTTTCCGTTCATATTTTAATTATCTTATGTCATAAGAATAATTAATTTCAACCTTTTACGCTAGCACTAGGAATTGTTTAGATTGGTGAATACATAATTTGGTTCACATAATGAAGCTATAAAATACAATGAGTTTTCAAATTGGGTATGTGTAAACATTAGCTATTCGTTTTGAGATTGATCCATTTATTAGCAGGCCGTGTTGCTGTTCAGGAATTCCCATCATTTTCACAGCAGAATTTGCGCCCAACTTGAATCACTATCACTGCTTAGAAGGAAAACGTTCTATACGCCAGGGCATTGTCCCACTATCACTGAAAGACCATCCAGAGACCACCGTCCAAACTAAAAAAGCGAAAGTAGCCATCAAAAGCGCCATGTAGTTCTCAAACCAAAGGCAACTTCAAAATTTTACTTCTTCGTTTTTTTCTCCTCTATGGGATACTGGAGGTAGCTGGGATATAAGATATTTTCTGATGATTTCAGTCTTGGTTGTTAATTAGTTGAAGTTTACAAGGGGCAGATGGTGGTGGTGATCGTCGGTAGCTTCACTAGTTTGGGAAAAATGTTATCCACATTGGGAAAGTGGATGGACATTCATCCTGAGACAGCCCACTAAGAAAGGAAGTCTTGTCTTTTGCTTTTTTAATCCAGGAATGAGCAAAAATTTTCTTAAGACATACTCTAATATTTGAACCCTTCTGTTGTATCTCCATCATCTGTTACTTTTAAATTTTTCTCTCTCTTTGTTAACTATTATCATCGAACAAGTTAATAGGATGTGTGACTACACTATCTAATTAAAGGTTTAGTTTAAAATCTTTGGATAAGATGTGTTTTATGTTTATTATACCTAAAATCCGTACTTACCTCTCTCATTTTTTCTTAATTTTGACAGTGACGACAGCTCAAGTTAGAGCATGTGAACTCGTGCAACCATTCTTGAGTTATTCATACCTCTTAAAACTGTATAATGTTCTAATCCTGAACTTGTATTTCTTTTGTGAACCAGGAAATATCAATTGCTGCCAATCTACCTCTTAATAGCAATTCAAGGTCCACATGCCAAGATTTTGTACACTTCTCCAACTCAACAAATCTGCTTAGGTACATGTTGATGCATCTTATATATGATCATTGAGGGGTCATTTATTTGGGTTTCTTAAAACTTTCCTTGGGCGAAGGACTCGTGACACTTTGAGTTTGTTTGGCTAAGCTTAAAAGGTTCGCTTATAAGTAAATAAGTTGTAAAATTAGTTTCTCTTTTAATAGATCGAAATTGAAAATAAGTTATTTGCCCTCTGTTCAGTTTGTGCAAGAAGCAAAAGGAGCTTCCAATGTTGTAGATAAAGGATCCTCGAAACAGATTGCGAATGAGAAGGTCATTTAATGAACTATCAAGTCAATGTAATATACATAAAAGTCATTTTCTAATAGCACTTTGTCACTCGATTAGCACATGATTTACTTTCTAGACTTCTCCTAAACAAACATATCATCCGTTCGGACGGCTCGGTTCGTTCCACCTCGAGTTCATGGGATGATTCGAGCTCAAATTTCGACCAAGCAATTCAAGCCTAAATTTCAGCTAGGCGAGCTCAGCAAAGCCCATGACTCGCCTAAGAGCCTGCCCTATCGAGCTTATTCTTTTATTTAATATGTTAAATTTCCTTATTTTCTTTAAAAAGAGAACAAATAAAATTTGTAAAAGTTTATTAATTTTTTAATCATGACTCTAGAGTTTATAGAAGAGAAGAGAGATTAAAAATATCGAAAGGGCAAATATTGATATTAATAGACATTTTTTTATAAGTCTCCCAAAATCTCTTGGATGAATGAGAAACAAATTGGGAGATTTTCGATAAATTTGAAAAAAAAAAAATTAGAAATGCTCGAAGGGCAATCCCCTCAATCTTCACAAACATGCAGATAGATTTGCAAGTTTGTTGATGATGATATTCATCATGCTTTCTCAATGGATGATATTTCTCAACTCCAAAGAAAGCAAACTAATCACCAACTTTTTCCCGCCACGAGGAAAATCAACTTAATAAAGATGGATGCTCCAAAGGAAATCCAACAATAGGAATCGGAGGTCTTCTTAGGGACGACCAAGGAAAATGGATGTTGGGATTTATGGGGAGCATAGAACAAAACTATGAGCCTAATTATGGAATTATGGGCTATTTTCCATCGTATCACTCATTAGGACAAATGCTGGAGAAATTTAGCACTTGACACACGTTCAATTGAGGTAATATTTTTGTTAAAAGAAGCCCAAATTACACAAAATTTCAAAAGAGCTCTACTTGAGGATTGTTGATTCCTACTTTCATTGTTCAATATTGAGATTTTGCACACTTTAAGACAATAGAATAGCTGTGCAGACCACCTTGCAAACATTGCAGAGATGCGAGACAAAATTCATGTTATTCTGAAAAATCAACCTTCTTTTGTTAGTTCTCTTCTTTTGGCTGATTTGACACGAGTTGCCCTTACTAAGGCTTGTACATAGTTGTTTCCCTATTTTATTGTTTCTTATCATGTACAAAAAAATAAAACTAAATGGAATGTATTTTCAAAGCTAACCATATAATTTCTCTCTCAATTTTTCAAGGGATTTCTCCTCTCAAAGTTTTTAGTATTTTCGAATCCTTTTTTTTTTTTGTGTGTGTGTGTATCTATGGGGAAGACAAATATTTTTTTTCTTTTATAGAGATCAATTTTTTCTCCAAAAGTTCAAAAGATCCCATTTTAGTTGTACAATGTCTATTTATTGCAGTTTGATAAGGGTATTTTAGTCATTTTTGTGACCTGATCATTTTTCATCATTTTGTTGGAATTTCTTGATTAAATTTCAATTTTCAAAGTTTATTGATTTCAGTGTTTTTGTGGCACTTGTTCAGAATCTTTTGTTTGCCATAAAGGCATGGTGCACAACATCAAAGTTGATTTGTCAAAATTCACATTGAAATATGTCTTGTTCATGTCCAAGGTTGTCAAATATCTCTAATCAAGTTCTTTATTAAGTGTTAGGGTTCTGCATATTTCTTTGTTAAAGGGAGTATTGGGACCTATATATTCTTGAAAAATGCTATAGGTACTCGTCCACTTACTTGCTGGTTTACCCGCTGACGTGGAAAATGAGGGAAAAAAATTAAAAAACCACAAAAGAAAACAAAAGGAGGGAAACCAGCGTTATGCCCACCAAACCCACCAAATAACCGGGAAATCAAAATCAATTGAAACCTCTTGAAATGGCCACCGGGAAATGAAAATCAATCTAAATTCCCTCTCTCCCTATCTCTATCCTTCCCTTCTTCGTCCACCGAGTTAGCAATGGCCACCGCAGCCGCCTTGCAACAAACCCCAATCACCTTCCAGTCTCGGTCGCTCCTCTCTGCCCAACTTTGTTCCAGGCCCAATGTCAAATTCCTCCTCACTACTGGCGTTAAGCTCCCGAACCTCACAATCAAGCCCCTACTCCGTCGTAAACGCGACGGAGGCAGTGCGTCTGGAGCAAGAATGGCTGGCTCTGCTGCCGGCAGCTACGCCCTTGC